TTACCCTGTCGGGAGGAGCACAGCCACAGTGGGGTCCTCTAAAGCATGGGGCCAAGACAGAGGCGCCTCTTGCCTGGACTGTAGGAAGGAATGGATTTTACCCCGTGTGACATGTTGAGCCATCAGAAGGTTTTGAGAAGACATATTTGACTTATATTTTTAAAGAATCACCCTGGCTGCCATGTTGAGAATCAACTGTAGGAAGGCAAGATCAGAATCACAGAGTCCAGATATCTATTTGCAGAAATCACATGAGAGATGATAATGGCTCTGACTAATATGGAAGCTGCGGAGGTGGATGGAAATGGTCAGATTCTGGATGTATTTAAAGGAAGGGACTATAGGATTTGTTGATGAGTCGGATGTAAGATGAGAGAAGAAGGGAGTTAAGATGATTCCATAGTTTGTGTCCTCCACCTCGACAAATGGAGGATGGAGCAGAAGGAAGCAAGAAGAGAAGGTAAAAAATAGCAGTGAGGAGGCTCTGCTGTGGCATAAGGAGAAATGACAAGAAGCTGAATTAAGGTGATGGCAGGAGAGTGGAAGAAAGGAGAGAAATCATCCACAAAGTATCTAGGAGGTAGACTGAACAAGACTAGGGGACAGACTGATGAGATGAGAAATGTTAAGTGTAAGATGACCCTCAACGTTGTGACTTGAGGTGGGTACTATTAGCATTATAGGAAAATAAGGCAAAAAGAGTTCTTGTAAACTGTCCAAGGTGTTGGAGGCTAATAATTTGTAGAACCAGGATTTGAACCCAGATGTTTCTGATTTCAGAGCTTGAGCTCTTAACCATTGCATGGACCATATTTTCTCTGGAAGAAAGATGATTAGGAAAGGAGGCCGGTGGTTGGAAAGTACCTTAACAACAGTGTCTGTCCCTCAGTTTGCTCAAGGAGGCAGTGTGCTAAGAAAGTCCCCTTGGACGGGTAAGGAAAAAAGGGAAGTTAAAGCCAGTTTGTGAGTGATCCAGGCGTCTTTTCTGTTGCTGGAACTATGTTACGTGCCATCCTTTCATGTTCTAAAAATAAGAATGTTGTCAAGTGTTGGTGCAGCTTAAGATGATACCTTTTTTAGACATATTTGCATTTTGATAAGGAAAAGTATCTTCAGGTCCAGCTAAGGTGTGCCACGACATTTCCCTGTGGGAAGCACTTGATTCTGTTCCCAGTTGTTACCTGCTGTGAGAGCTCTGTCCCTCAAATAAAAACAGTAATACAGCTCACGAATGACCTCATGTTTTCCTGTAGCTAGTTTCTCATTTCCCTTATCCCTTTTATAGCACTTTTCTCTAAAGAGTTGCCAATATTCATCTCTACATCTTTACCTCGCATTCTCTCTTGAACCCATTCAGGCTTTCCTCTGTACCACATTCACTGACCCTGTGTTTGGCAGGATCATCCATGACCTCCTTACCACTAAATCCAATTCTTAGGAGCATTTGGCTCTACCGATTACTCCTTCTTTGTAGCACTGTGTTTTAAAATATAGATTTTATTATTATTTAGGTATGGTCAGGCCAACAGATCAGGAAATGATTGCCATTGAAGAGATAGTATGTTACACTCACAGATCCCAAAAGAAGAGGAACCACCATGCCACAGGGGGCCACACCAGCAAGCACTGTGGTCAGCCAGGTGGGGGGCGGGAAGGGGAGACTGGGCAAGAGCCTTTATTGTGGTTTCCACAGGAAGGAATGGATGAGGCAGGGTAAACAGATTTAGGATTAGCTAATATGAATAATTTCAGCAGGCTCTGGGGCATAGGGGCTGTCCCTAGCTTTCCAGTACCTGGCCCTGGAGTGATTAGGGCAAGTTGATAGTGGCTGGGAATATGAAAGCTCCCAGTGAAGGAAGTAGTTGGGGGTGTGGGCTCTGTTTATTTGCGTTTGAAAGGTGTGCTAGTGGGCAAGTTATTTACCATCTCTTAGAACTGGCTAATCCCAGGGGAGTGGCAGTCCCTTCAGCATCAGCAAGTTCCAGAATATCAAAGCATCACAATACAGAAAATAAAATACATGGTTAATATGTACTGTCATTTGCCATTTTAACCTTCCTCTCAATCTTTTTTGCTGGTGTCCTCTCCTCACAAAGATCTATAGATGTTGGAATGCCCCATGGGCAGTCTCAATCCTTGGCCACTTTCTCTTTCTCCTGTCTCTCTGCAGGTGGTATCATGCAGCCCATGGCTTTAAATAACACTTATACATTGATGACTCCCAAATTTATATCTCTGCCCCAAACTCTGAACCAAATGTTATCCAACTGCCTGCTAAACACCTCCACTGGGATGTCTAATAAGCATCTCAAACCAAACCTACACCAAACACAACTCTTAGTTTCCCTTCCTTCATCTGCTTCTCCCGCAGACTTCTTCATTTTAATAAATAGCACCTCCATTGCCCTAGTGATGCAAGCCCCAAACCTAGGAATTTTCCTGGATTTCTCTATTTTTCTCCAACTCTGTAGCCAACCAGTCAGCAATTCCCTTATGGTCTTCTTTTAAAATATAGAAGACCTAAATGAATGAAAAGATGCTGTATTAATGAATTAGAAGACTTAATGTTATTAAGACAGCTATATTTCCCAAATGGATCTATGCATTCAATGTAATCCCTACCAAAATTCCAGTTGCCTTTTTTTTTTTCTTTGCAGAAATGGACAATCTGATCCTAAAATTCATATGGAAATGTAAGGGAGCCAGAATAGATCAAAAAAATATTGAAAAAGAAGAACAAAGTTGGAGGACTCACATTTCCTGATTTCAAAACTTACCGCAACATTACAGTAAAACCAACACTGTGTGGTACTGACATAGGATAGACGTACAGTTCAATGAAATAGAAAAGAGAGCCCAGAAATAAGCCCATATATCTATGGTCAATTGATTTTTTTCAAGGGTGCCAAGACAATTCAATAGAAAAAGAATAGTTTTATCAACAAATTGTATAAGGACAACTGCATGCCCACATGCAAAAGAATGAATTTGGAGCCTTACCTCATACTATACATAAAAATTAACTCTAAATGGGTCAAAAACCTAAGCAGTGAACGTTTTTAGTTCTTACAAGAAAATGCAGTTATAAATCTTTGTAACCTTGGACTAGGCAATGGCTTCTTAGATATGACACCTAAGGTACAAACAATAAAAGAAAAACTATGTAAATTGGACTTCATCAAAATTAAATTAATTTGTACTTCAAAATTAAATAAAATTTAAATTAATTTTATGCTTCCCAGGACTCTATTAAGAAACTGAAAAGACAATGGGAGAATGGGAGATCATATTTTCAAATTATATATTTGATAAACAGTTTGGCAGTTCCTCAAAAAATTAAATAGTTACCATTTGATCCAGCAATTCTACTGCTACATATGTGCCCAAGAGAATTGAAAACTTATGTACACAAGCTTGTACATGAGTGTTCATAGCAGCATTATTCATAATAGCCAAAAGCAGAAACAACGCGAATATCCATCAACTGGTGAATGGATAAACAAAATGTAGTATATCATACCAGGGAATATTATTTAGTCATAAAAAAGGAATGCAGTACTGATATGTGCTATAATACAGATGAACCTTGACAACACTATGCTCAGTGGAAGAAGCCAGTCACAAAAGGCCACATATTGTACCATTCCATCTCTATGAAATGTCCAGAATTAGCAATTGATAAAGACAGAAAGTAGATTCATAGTTTCCAGGAGATGGAGGGAAAGGGAAGGGGAAATGGAGAGTTTCTGCTAATGAGTAAGGGGTTCCTTTTTGGGGCAATGAAAATGTTCCAAAATTAGAGAGTGGTGCGGTTGCACAACTCTGTGAATATACCGAAAACCACTGAATTGTATACTTTAAAAATGTGTGTTTTAAATACACACACACACACACACACACACACACATATAACCCTCTTTTGTACATCAATTATAATTCAATGAAGTGATTGAAAATTTTTAAAAATAATTTTAAAGGACAAAGAAAGAAATCTATAAAATCTCCAACAGATTTTTTCTCACTTCTGCTAGCCCCACCACCCTAACCTGAGCTATCATCATTTCTGCAAAGACATTCCTTACTTACCTTACTGCTTCTGATCTTGCCAACCGACTCTCCCTCTCAACAACAGCCTACTGCCTACACCAAAGCTGGGTCCTCTTTTAAAAGTCTAAATGAGGTTATGTTATTCTCCTGATCCAAACCCTCTGCTGGCTTTCTGTCACGCTCAGAGCAGCTCTGCTTTGTACCTGATTTAGATGTATGGCTCCAACAGATTTCCTTCGAAGAAATGATTCCATGGCTAATAAAAGTTTGAAAGCCGCTTTGAGGGCAGAATAGCTGACAGTGGTGTGCCCTGTCTCTTTTGCCTTTGGCCACGAGAAGTCCATAGATGAAGAAAGCAAAAGAAAAAGGTAGAGCAGGACCAAGGTGGAACATCTGCTCTCCCTGTCTAAACCCCTTAGTAAAAGGTAGTTCAAGTGATGGGCAAACTCAATCACAGCACTCAAGAGAGCTTGACTACTTTGCCTCCTCAGTCAACTAGTAAGTATTTATTGAGAATGTACTTCTCTTCTACTGTTTGAGTGTCTGATTCCCAGACTTCCAACCCAGGTAAAGAAAATGGTGTGCATTGTTCATTTGACAAACAAGGTTGAGGAGTCAAGGGCCTGCTGCTGAGAAGGCTATGGAGGGCTTCACAAGAGAGACAAAGAGATGCAGGTAACATCAGTGTGTGTGATGCAGGAGGACTGGTTCATTTTCTGAAAAGGCCATTAGAAAAGGAAGAAGAAGAACTTCTCATTTGGATTGGTAAAGAGTGCCTCACTTCCTCTTCTCCCTGCCATCAACCTATAACTTCTCTTCCCAGCTCCACTCCACCCAAAAGATTTGTTATCTCTCTGTTTTCCAGAGTGAACAAGCAGCAAAGTAATGAGATCCAGCAAAGTTGCATAAGTCCCTGAGACTTTCAATTATCTATTTCAGATCAAGTACAGAACATGTTTTTCCTCCTGCTAATGTTGAGCCTGGGATTGCAGCTTCATCAGACAGCAGGTAAGAAAGGACAAAGGAGAGCCTGAAAAAGAGGAGCAAGTAGTGGCCTTTAGCCAAAGCCAATAATGAGAATGTGGTCCTCAGGCTGAAGGCTTTCTTTGAGAGGAAGTGTTATTTCTGGTTGTTACAAGCACCACAAAAAGAATGGTGCCCAAGGTGGGCACCATTGGCTTGTACATGCCAACGTCTCTGTCTTACAGAAATGGGGCCTGAAAATATCGATCCGTCTATCCCCACTATCCAATGAGGGTAATGACAAGAAAAAGGACCACTCGGACCATGTACATCTGAACTGATACAAGAGAGCAAGGGTTGAGTTTCCTCAAAAGTGAGATGCTAAGCAGCTGTCCCCTTCCCTTCTGGCAGGGAGAATAAGGAGACATTGGTAGGGGACTCTGTTATGCTAAAGATAATGTCTTGCAAACATTCTGCCTGTTATTAGATATTCATGTGAGTTCCTCTTCTAAAAAGCAACAATAGCAGTCATTGATCATTCATACCTCAATGTGGATTACTTGAATAGAAAATTCAGAGTCTTCCTAAAGTCCAAATGAACAATGAACTTTAATACTATGTCTTTGGACTTAAAGGAAGGACTTCTACTGGAGGTTGTGGGTGAGCAGGAAGGAAAGCACTTTCAGAGTTGGTTGTTCTCCTGGGGAAGGTAGTTCAGACCATGGGAGGGTGCAGTCAGGACCATGAGTGCATTATTTTGGATGAACACCAGGAGGTAAGAAAGTAAGACAGAGGTAGGGACCGGGGATTAGGTCCTAATGATAGCAGTCCAAACTTCACAAGGAATCATCTAATATTCTGCCCTTGATTGAGAAATAGCGGCTCCTTTGGCACTTGATAACCTTTTGAAGAGCTTTCTACTCCCTTCTGGCTGGTCCAAGACTGATCTTTTCCCAGTCACATTCCTCTCCCTCCCTTGGGCTGCCCAGCCCAGTCTAGCACTAGAAATATACAGTAAAATTTATTCTTTTTTGTAAAAATGTCTATCAGTTTTGATAAATGCATAGTCATATAACCACTACCACAATGAAGATCCAGAACACCTCCATCGCTTTCCAAACAAACAAAAACCCTCTCCCAACTCTTAAGCCTAAGCACCTATTGATCTATTTACTGTCCTTATACTTTTAACTTTTCTAGAATGTATAGAAATGAGGTCAGTCATTAGATACTCTTTTTTGTCTGGCTTCTTTCATTAAGCATAATGCATTTGAGATTCATCCATATTGTTGTGTGTTATCAATAGTTCATTTATTTTTGTTGTTGAGTATATTCCATTGTATATATAGTATATTTTGTTTATCCATTCCCCAGCTAGGGGACATTTGGGATTTTCCCATTTTTGCTGATTACAAATAAAGTTTCTATAAACATTTGCATGTGAGTTTTTTTGTGTTTACATAGATTTTCATTTCATTTATGGGTAAATACGTAGGAGTAGGATTGCTAGCTCATATGGTTAAGTATATGGTTTAACTTTATAAGAAACTGTCAAACCTTTCCATAGTGGCTGTACCATTTTTGGATTCCCACCAGCTGTGTATAGAGTTCCAATTGTTCCTCATCTTCTCCAGCACTTGATATTCTTTTCCGTTTTTAAGTCATTCTAATAGGTGTGTAGAATTATCTCATTGTGGTTTTAATTTGCATTTTTCTAATGACTAATGATATTAAGTATATTTTTATGTACTTATTGGTCACTTGTATATCTTCTTTGGTGAAGTGTGTATTCAAATCATTTAACCGTTTTTAATTGGGGTGTTTATTTTCTCATCGTGAAATTTTGAGAGTTCTTTATTCCAGATACAAGTCCTTTATCAGATATGTGATTTGCAAATATTTGCCCCCAGTCTGTGGCTTGTCTTTTCATTCTCTTAACTATGCCTTTTGCAGAGCAAATATTTTAATTTTGATGAAGCCCAATTTATCAATTTTTTCTTTTATGGGCCATGGTTATGGTGTCGTACCTAAGAACTCTTTGACTAACCCAAGATCTAAAAGATTTTCTTCTGCGTTTTCTTCCACACATTTTATAGTTGTACATTTTATATTTAGGTTATGATCCATTTTGAGTTAATTTTTGTATAAGGTGTGAGGTATAGATTGAGGCTCATTTTATTTTTGCATATGGATGTTCAGTTGCTCCAGCCCCATTTGTTGATAAAATTATCCTTTCTCCATTGGATAGCCTTGGAATCTTTGTCAAAAATCAATGAGTCATCTTTATGTGGGTCTACTCTGTTCCATTAATCTATGTGTATATCCTTTTGCCAATATCATACTTTCTTGATTAGTACAGCTTTATTGTTTATTTTTTCTTATATTTTTATTTCCAAACCCAAGGACATCTTGAAACCCAGAAACATATGTTATACCTTGTCATGTGTGGGAGGAAAGAGCAATGCCAATCTTCCTTTTCTCAGTGAAGTTTCTCACTCTCCTCATGCTCTAGAGGAGGATGAAACCAGAGGACACATGCTTGAGGTCACTCTGGGGCAGAGCCAACAGCCCCAGTCACTCTACTCCACCCATCTTCAGCTCCAAAATGACTTGTGCTGAGTTATACAAAGGAGAAGAATCAGGCTGGGGAAAGGATTTCTAAGCTAAGACATGTCTCCATGCAGTGCTCCTGCAGTGAGCAGACCATAAGTCAGGTGCACAGAGCAGGATTTTGTCCTAAACCAGGATCTTCAGAGGTTTTTTGAAGACTGTTGCTGTGTAAAGCACCCCCCTCCGCTGCTCACCTCTCCAATACATTGTGTAGGAGTCTGAACAAACATAAGCTTCTGTCGTGAAATGGGAGGAAATGAGCTTTAAGAAGAAGCTATCTTGGGAGGCAATGCAAATGATTTGTTTTGTGTTTCCTGGAGATGTCACAGGTGCTGATTCTCATTGATGTCAGGTTGCAAATAAAATGCAAAGTTCCCCTGAGAGTGTTCAAAAAGGCACCAGCATTACTCAAGTTAGGTGCTTTAATCTGGCTAAAAGACCTGCATGTACAAATTTTTTATGTTTTTGTCAAGTCCTTTGCCCTTTAGTTTAGTTAAGGGCCCCGAGTGAATGGAAAACCTGTGTTGTCTGCATAACTTTCTAGTTTGGAAACTTTCCAATTTTCTCCTTTGTCTGATAACTTCAGGTGTTCAAAGCTAGCTTGAGGCTTAATTTAATAACCATGTGGCACACAAAATAGAAAACAAATGTCTTTTCCTTAACATCAAGCTAAAAAAAAGGTTTATCTCATTAATGGATGTAGTGTACACATGCCAGGTGATATATAGTCATATCTGTAGAGTTATTAGCAGCACAAAGATGAATGTGCATTGGAGCCAGAGAGATGAAATTTTATTCTAATTCCACGAGCTACCACTCTTTGACCTTGGTCAAGTTGTGTTACTTCTTTAAGCCTCAGTTTCCCCATCCGTAAAATGTAGATAGTAACTCCTACCTTGCAGAGTTGTTGGGAGCATTAAATGAGCTGATAATAGAAGGGTTAGCCCAGTGTCTGACTTATTGTAAATGTTTAAGAAATGTTAACTACTACTCTACTTCCCAATAATAGTTCAAGTGCAGACCAGTGTTATAAATCTGCTTCTCAAACGTTAATATGTATGCAAATCACTCTGACCTTGTTAAAATGCAGATCTGATTCCCTAGGTCGGGGGCAGGCCTGAGATTCTGCATTTCTACCTAGCTCCCAGGTGAAGCTGAGCACAACACTTTGAATGGCAAGATGGTAAAAGATGTTTGCAAGCGCAGGTGTTTGTCTAACTAATGGTTCTCAATACTGTCTGCACATTAGAAGCTCCCAGGAAAAATTGTTTTTTAATTGTTGCTGGCCTCACCCTCAAAATAATTTAATTTTACCAGATCCAAAGTGGGGTCTGGGCATTAGTTTTGCCTCCTAGGTGATTCCAATGTCAACCAAGATTGAGGCCCTTTGTTTAGTGAATTCACACAGAATTGTCTGCAAGAGCGTATTGATTTCCTCTGTAATTTACAACAACTGAGACTGTTTTAGGATTTCAAAAGTGTTTTGCACTTCCTAAAACCCTTGATTTGTATGGGGTAATCAAGCTCAAAGCTTTGCATGTCTTAGAAGCTTTCACTGAGGCAAAATTAGACCAAACAACAATGAATCTTCTAGTTATTTTGAGCTACTCAGATACATGACTCATGTTTGCTAACTGCTCTTTTCTCTTATAAATATTAGCCAGATAATGTCACCTGTCTAGAGGTAGCATGCTTTATGCCTACCACCCCTAGAACCTGCTCTGAACAAGGCAAAGGGAAAAACAGGCAGAAAATGGACTTTTATCAAAGGTCCAGGCAGTAAAGAGGGGAGTTCTGCTGTATGCTAAGGGGAGTTCCAGAGGAAGTTACAGGCGTTCCCTCTTTCATGAGAAAAAAGCATGATGTGGTAAATAAATTTGCTAAAGAGAGTCAATAGCATCTCTACCCAAAGTCTTCTATTTAATTATTGTTTTCACTTAGACACAGCAACTAACCTTCCTTGCAAACCTCGTTTCCTTCCCTGTTTGCTGTTTTACCTTGTGTAATAAAATAAGTATTATGAGAAAGGTATGAACAGTAGTAAATTCTTTCTTTTTTTCCACAAGTTTTCTCAGTGTGAAAGTAGTAAGTTCTTGAACTCAGCACAGAGAAGATGGTTAATGCATTTTTGATGAATGAATGAATCAATATTCTTCCAGGGAAGGGTGGATTTGGTATCAGGTGGCTCTGTCTTAGGCATAACAGATGTAATAATTCAAGTATTTAGAGACGGTTTTCATCATAAAGGGATCTACCCCTAAGAAGGTCCCACTATAGAGACTCTGAGGTGTGAGTTATCACAAGTGTACAGCAGATTCTGCAAGATGGAATCATATAGAAAATCCAGTTTCACAAGAATTGTGCCAGGGTCTTCTCAACCTGGCCCAGCAAGTGCAGGTGTGATTAGCACTGTTTATGCAGAAGTACTCCCTTAGAGCCCTGCTCCCGCTCCTGTCCTGCACCAAAGAATGCTGGGCTTATGTGAACTCCTCTCTGTACCGTAGATCTCTGTAGAAAGGCACATGAATGTTCTACCAGTGGTTAAAAGACGGGTGGAGGCCAGATATAAACTTGTCAGTCATTTCCGATAAATCTCAAGTTTGTGGGTGTCACTATCAAGTGTGTCATGTGGCAATTATTAACAAGAAAGCCAAATTGTGTGATCTCAGGCCAGCCACAGTTTGATGAAAGGAAAACAGAAGACAGTATGATCAGGCTCATCCTTCCTTTCTCCCTCTCTCTTCCTGTCATTTATTTGCCATACTCTTAATAGAAACTCAGTATGTGCTAGGTACTGCAGATATCAAAGCACACTCAACCTGGTCATTGACTTCAAAGACTTGCAGGTTAGTGGGAAGGAAAACTTGAATCAGAAGAGAATTGCAACATGAACCATTCAAGCAGCAGAAAAAAGTTACTCATATTGTGAAATCTGGTCAGGGAATGGACTGTCCCTCCTGGCTAACAAAGGACGGCCACACATTCCATATATGAATTACCACTTTCCCAAGCATTAAAACACGGTGCAAAAGAAAGGAACAAACATTTGCTGAGTGCCCCCTACCTGCAAAGCTAAGCCCTTCCCATCTACCATCTCATTCAGTTTTCACCACAATACTGAGACATGGCTGTCAGCCTTGTTTTACAGACAAAGGGGCTGAGACTCACAGAGGTTAAATGACAGGCTCACAGTCAAAGGACTCCTGACCTTCATACAGTCAGGATTTGAACCCAGGCTCATCCGTCACTAAATCCTGTGCTTTTCCAATACCATGTTTCATACCGAAACAACCTCTTGAATAACTAGTGCTTAGAGGAAGCCCCTAAATATTGTTGAAGGGATGATTTGATTGAATAAATCAATGAATAAAGGAAGCAAGCCCTACTGAACATAATTTCATCTAATCTTCTGTGATGATTTGGAAACTACTTTGAGATCTTTCCATACCTCCATTATAATGAATTAATCCATCATTAATGATAGAAATAACATAATTTTGTACAGTTTCTCATACTTTATTCATGCAAACACCACCTTCGCTACTTTTGCCACATTTGGCCATTCCTTATGCTATTATTTTTTATAGAATAATAAAATTGATTTCAATCAACCCAGGTTTTAATTTTTTTCAACAAAGCAGATAGCCCTGTGGTAGATGGAAAATCGATATTGCTTGTCCTGGTAAATAGAGGATAGGAACCAAAATAAAGGCAAAGAGAATAAAGCAGTGTTATCAAATTATTATTAGGCATTATTATCTGCCTAGAAGCTTCTTGTTTTATTAAAAGGAAAAATAGCCAGTGTTAGAGGTGTGGGAGTCTAGTTGGAAATTATATGTAATTGAGGGATTGAAATAGAATTAAAAAGGGAATAAATTCCTCTCTGAATAATTCAACTTCCTTTAGGCCTTGATTCTTCCCCATTTAAAATCATCTTACATACTTCTGGTGGTATGTGCCTCACAGTTTGGGAAATACTGTTTGAGTGGAAATGACAGATTTTGAAGTCAAATATCTGATCGGCTCTGAAGTATGTCCTGAAGTGAACTTCTTTGACCCAGTTCCCTCAACTATTCCCTACTGACAATAGATATGGTCATATTTTCAGTGTTAAATGAGTGGCTAGCACAGTGCCTGGCACGGCACATAGTAGGTATACATTAAATATCAAGTCCATTTTTCCTTTCCCTTTGACATGTACAGGGGGCTTGTATGATGTGATGGTTAAAGCATTTGTCACTTAAAAATACCTGGTCTGATCCTGGCTGTGCAATCTTGGGCAAGTTGCTTAACCTTTCTGTGCCTCAGTTTCATTTTTTAAAAAGAGGATAGCAGTATTGCCCACTTCACTGGCTTCCTGGGAAGACTAAAGGAGATAACATATTAGCAGAGTGTCTAACACACAGTAAGAACTCAACAAATAATAGTTGTTATTATTGCTGTCACTGGTGAGAGAAAGTGACATCTGGGAAGGAAAGATATACATTGGTCCATATGGATTGAAGAAAATGAACCCATATAATAGGATGTGAAGGCAATTAAGTAAAAGGGGCTCAGATCTTGATGGTAGGGGAGTCATAGGAGACATTTGTTGTCACGCGAGGGATGATCTGGAGTGACTGCAGGGCTGTCGGGGAGAGGGTGGGAGAGGCTCCCAAGAGCAAGTGGTGCTGCCCACCAGAGCTCTTGCTGGGTGCCTAGGGAGGTGTAGGAGGGCAGTCAGCTACACAGGTGAGAGTGTTTAGAGGAGAGAACTATCTCAGAGCGGCAGGTCGAGAATTCACTCTTGTCCAGGCAGATGGGGTAAAGGAGAGAAGGATCCCAAGGGAATGCCCAGATGATAAGAGGCATCTCCTGGAAATTGGGGGTGGATAGGTCTCAGCTCTCACTTTGTAAGAACTGGAATGTAAAGTAAAGGCAGACAATAACGAAATGTCTTATTTTCTTTTCAGCTTTATTCACAGTGACAGTCCCTAAGGAGTTGTACATAGCAGACTACGGCAGCAATGTGACCCTGGAGTGTGACTTTGACACTGGAGGTCATGTGAGACTTGAAGCAATAAAAGCCACTTTGCAAAAGGTAGAAAATGATACATCGTTGCCTGCTGAAAGAGCCGCTTTGCTGGAGGAGCAGCTGCCCCTGGGGAAGGCCTTGTTCCACATCCCTCGAGTCCGAGTGAGGGACGAAGGGCAGTACCGCTGCGTGATCCTCTATGGGGTCTCCTGGGACTACAAGTACCTGACTCTGAAAGTCAGAGGTGAGTGGTTTCAAGGACTAGAAACCACAGAGGCATCTCTCCAACAGGGAACCTGCATTAGCTGCAGTAAGAGAAACTCACTAAAAGTCGCTCCAGCAAAAGCTGGGAGGATGGTTCTAAGGAGACAAACCTATTGCAGAGAAAACAAAAGAACCTGCTCAGAAATATTTTTTGGCATCTGAGTATAAATCAGCTGAAGTAAAGGTCAATAGGGGTAGGAGTTGGAGGAATAAAATGGGGCTAGAGGAAGTCAGGAACATGAGGCCCTGAAAGGTGAGAAGTTGCTAAAGATAAGCTTTGCCTAGTTCACAGTTCTCCCAGGGAACATCTCTGACTTGATTATTAAGCTACTCTTTTTCAGTAGTTTATTTCTCTAGTGCAGAGTTTTCTAAACCATGGCTGCAACCCATTAATGGATTAAAATATCAGTTTAATGAGTGGCAACGAAATGGATGTTTTTCCCCAAAAGTGAATGAATAAAATAGAATAGATCAGAGGCTATCACACAGTAGGGCTGAGTGTTGTTCTGTAAAACTCTTGTTCCAGAGGAGAGTGTGTGTGTGTGTGTGCGTGCGCGTGCACGCACGTGCGTTGGGTCATGGTGTAAAATTTGATTTCTTACTCTGGTTCATAAAAGGTTAAAAGTTTGGGGAGCACTGCTCGAGCCCAAGCCCTATTTCTAGCAGATGAAGTAGTAGAGGTCCATAGAAGTGAAGTGGGTGGCCCGAGAGAGCCCCTTAAGTCAATAGCTGTCCCACTCCTCTGGATTCAGGGCTCTCTCCACCCCAACACAAGCCAAGCACCTAAATCTGAAGAGAATCTTCACATTCTTGTTTGTTCTGGAAAAGGTCATATGACAACCGCAAAAGAATTGATTTACCTTGTTCATTGGCTTATACTTTTCAGGCTTCATTGAGTGTTCTGAGTTAAATTATGCCAGTATTTCTCTGGCCCCTCCCTATTACACTCCTTAGGCCTAAGAAGGTCTGTACTGTCTTCTAGACTGCAGTGGTCCCCAACCTTTGTGGCACCAGGGACCGGTTTCCTGGAAGACAATTTTTCCATGGACGACACAGAGGCGGGAGTTGTGGCGGAGCTCTGCTAATAGGCCTGGCGGGTTGGGGACTACAGTTCTAGAGGGTCTGTGGATTTTGGCCTGCAAAGACCATTAACCATGGCAGCAATGGTGTGACTTTATGATCTGCTACAAAGAAGGACAAACTAGAAGGATTAGACACAATGGTGAATGTTGTTTTCATCTGGGTCCTTGGGCAGGTTATTTCACCTTTCATAACCTCACATTTTTTATTTGTAAAAGGAGGGCAATAGTATCAATAGTACCTACCACATTGGATTGTTGTAAAAGTTAAGAGAGATAATGAACATACAGAACTGAGTGTGGTGACTGGCATATGGTAAATGTCCAGAAATTTGGCTAAAAGATCAATTGCTACAGGGACAGTGACCTCCTCACACCTCAACCATCAGTGAGTCACCAGGAAAGCCATTACCCTAAATGCAACTGTTTTCTATCTCCATTGCATTTCCTACATCCAAGCATCAGCTGGGAGAAACTCTAGAACACTGAAGTCAGTCTGAGTTCAATTCACATAAGGAAAGAAGGCTGTATGCTCTCAGGATCCCCTAAGGCACTCATGTATCTGCACCCGTAAATCACCACCCCTGTGTTTATTGATCTCTCTCTCTGAATGCTATACTGGGGCACAACCATCCCACTCTTTCTCTCAGGACGAGGACTGCCTCTCATTCCTGGGAAGGCAGCCTGCCCACTTCCTTACCTAGACCAGGGATTTCTCAGGTGGAAGGGATTTGCACCTTAAAGTAATGGTCATCAAACTGGGACATATGGAAATCACAAAGGCTTTCCTAAGGCAGGGGTCCCCAACCTATGGCGAGTTGTATAATTATTTCATTGTATATTAGAGTGTAATAATAATAGAAATAAAGTGCACAACAAATGTAATGCTCTTGAATCATCCTGAAACCATCTCCCCCATCCATGGAAAAATTCCAAGAAAATGGTCCCTAGTGCCAAAAAGTTTGGGGACCACTGTCTAAGGGATGTCTGGGCACAGGCAGTTTTAGGAAATGAGTGTCTAGATCCTCATCTTCCCCAAGTACCCCTCCCAAAACTGGTGAGCCTGAGAATGCGCTTGCTAGGCAAGGTTATTGGGGTTCCCCTGATATACTTCCTCTTCCTCCTCCTATTGCTTTCTCCTACTTCATAAAAAGCCTGCCTCTCACTGACCATGAATATAGTCAGTTGCCCCAGGGTGTAAAAACCTCCACAGTGCTAAACAAAAGAGTGATCAGAAACATTGATACTTTATGGAACTGTCATGACTAACAAATCCTTTTGCAAATATGAAGGATCAAATTTTCTGCTTTCAAGAAAATTGAAGGAGACCTTAATAGAGTTAACAGCTGATAATCAAAAATGAGTGATTTTTGCCACATAAATCATCATTCAAAGAATGAAATGACATTGCTATAACAAAACTGCTTCCACTCCCACTGACTGACTCACTCATATGAGCACGATTCTTTAGCCCTTTTAGCTGCAAAAAACCCAAAAAATGTAAATAGAATTGATGCTGAATTCTGCCCTGTAAAGTCATTCCAACCATGTCATATGCATCCTCAGATTCTTGAACAATTTGTAAAAGAGAGCCCCATCCATCTCAGTAAGGGACATGCTTCCAGGAAATTTTTATCTTTTATGTTTAATAATTATCAATATTCATAATGTTTTACATTTTGATCAAATATTTGCTGTTAACGGACATTAGATCTCAATGCAGAAGAAAACTTTGAACCCTTAAAGCCTCATAGTAACGAGAAAAAAAAAATTTAACTTCAATAGCTGTAAATATTTTACTGTTGTAAAGACACATAAGGACAATGAAAAAAGGAGCTGCCAGACAAAAATATGTTGCATTACAATAAAATTCTGTAGGGAAAGTGAAATGGGAAGTGAGGTTCAAGGAATAAAAAGAAACAATGTAAAGCTCTGACTGTTAAACTAGAATTTTCATATGTGATTTTCAATGGATTATGGTGTATATAAAAAACACTTTCTTTTTTAAAACTCAGTTGACTTTAAGATCCATAAAAGATACCTTCTTTGATATTTAGATGCCACTGGATACATATGTAAGAATGAAATAATTGTTTCACTAAAAAATATATTTGTAAGATGCTAAACATTATGTATTTTTCCAATGTAGAAACTTATGAAGCATTCTAAGAATCAAATTAATATAGGTGACACTCTGGGAGACGGAGTGGGAAGATAGCTTGAAGCTCAGCTCAGGAGTTCAAGACGAGCCTGAGCAAGAATGAGACTCCATCTCTACTAAAAATAGAAAAAATTAGTCAGGCATGGTTGTGCGTGCCTGTAGCTCCAGCTACTCAGGAGGGTGAGGCAGGAGGATCTCTTGAGCCCAGGAAGTTGAGGCTGCTCTGAGCTATGATGACGCCACGGCACTCACTTGGGCAACAGAGTGAGACTTTGTCTCAAAAAAAAAAAAACAAAAAAAAACGTAATATGTGAGAAGGTGCATACTGCATCATAATTCTTTCAGAAGGGACACAAGAAAAAAAGTTGAACACCACCACCTAAGAGTATTCTACCCTGATCTGGAGTCTCTAAAGAAAGCAGGATATATCTGGGGCCACAGTGAAGGTCCCTATAAATGGAGTAGGATTAGAGGAAGGACATGCTTTTATCTTAAAATGCCTGATCTGTGGCATAAACCTTGAAAATATAGCAGCTTCTTTGATGTCTGGACAGCAATTTGTATGAAATATAGTGAAAATAAAGTTGATTTCAAAAAGGCAGAGAAAATACTAGATGGAATGGCTAGAAAGTCTGGAAGAAACAGTAATAAAGGGCTGTGGTTTCTCAAAAGCCAGATTGCAGCTCCGGGTCGGGGAGCAGTTCGACTGAGGAAGGGCAGGGAGGCGTGAAGAACGGAGATATACAGAGCCCAGGCCCACCGTGCAGGGGCAGGGAACCTGTGGCCTTCTGATTTCAAGATTGTTCCATTTTAAGCACGAAAGGAGGCAAGAAAAGCTTCATTTTTCTCTGATGCACCCCTTTTAATAAAAGGATTTGTTCTGTAAAATTTGGACTCAGTTAAAAGGCTGCATTTAAGGACCTAGAAGGACACATGTGGCCTTAATTAAAGACCACAGGCTCCCCACCCCTGGAAGGGTCTTGCAGAGGAGCTGGGGTTGAGAACTGGTCCATGCAAAGGATTCCAGACAGAGTCACAGAGCGAACCCTAAGAAGAAGAACATGAGAGCAGCCAAACCATCCTGAAGGCCTGGGCAGGAGACAGGGAAGGAGGGAGCCAACACATGAATGGGCTGAAGCTGACAGAAGTACTACGAATCAGCAAAAAAGCCCAAGAAATGGGCTTAGCAAATGTCACTTACCAAGTGGAGGAAGGCGGCAGCACGACTTCCATTACAAGGGCCTTCGCCCTAAGAAGACGAAGACCAAGCGCACAGAGAGGAAACAGTCGAAGAGAAGCAAAGCAAGAGTGAAAAGATGACTGTACATTTAAGCCTCTAGGCCCAGGGAAAGCATTTGCTAAAAGAATTTACTGACAAGCCCGGGCGCGGTGGCTCATGCCTGTAATCCTAGCTCTCTGGGAGGCCGAGGCGGGCGGATTGTTTGAGCTCAGGAGTTCGAGACCAGCCTGAGCAAGAGCGAGACCCCATCTCTACTAAAATTAGAAAGAAATTAATTGGACAACTAAAAATATATAGGAAAAAATTAGCCGGGCATGGTGGTGCATGCCTGTAGTCCCAGCTACTCGGAAGGCTGAGGCAGGAGGATCGCTTGAGCCCAGGAGTTTGAGGTTGCTGTGAGCTAGGATGATGCCACGGCATTCTAGCCGGGGCAACACAGTGAGACTCTGTCTCAAAAAAAAAAAAAAGAATTTACTGACAGAGCTAAATCTCTGATCTTC